CCGGTCATTCGTAGTGCATCCTTCCGTGTACCTGGTTGGATCCTATTTCCCTCAGCAGTTTTCCTTTCTTTTCTTTTTTTTTTGGGGGGGGGGGCTGGAGGTTTTCATGTTCCTAAATCCCCTTCAGCAGGCAGATGCTCCAAAAAAATCCAGCCGCTGCGTGGTGTGTAATTGTTGTAAAAGGTCAAGAGCTAGAAAGGAATGTAGCGATCAACTAGTTCCAGCCTTTCCTGAAGTAGCTTTGATAACAGGCTTTATGATGGCTGATAGATCCATAGTGCTGATTTGTCAGGTTCTAAAATCCCTCCCACAAGGAGAGTTATCTTCTAAGGGCAGAGTAAAAAGTTTAAAGCTAAACTTGATTTTACTCAGAGGCAGTTGACCTTAGTTACTGCAACCAGAACCTGGTGCCAAATCAGTCCTTTTGTATTAGCGGATTCATCCACATAGCTGCATTTAACGTGTACCATTCAATTGGTTTTTCTTTTTGTATGTGCCAGAAAGTCTGGCAGAATAATTATAGGATCCCACCCTCATCAGAGAGACCTTTCTTTTTTTTTTTGTGGGTGGTTAGAAAGAAGTAGAGAAGCATTGTTATCTTAACTACTTAATTTAGCCCTAGCCAACCCCAACAATTTGGATTGACTCTGGTGACTGTAACAGTGGGCTCAAGAGTTTAGAGATAAGAGAATGATGCAGGAAAGGGCAAGGTTCAGATCTGTTGTTAAACAGTCATTGTGAGTCCTAGTGGACTTGAGGGCGCCTAACAACAGTTTTATGTCCTGGCTTATTTCCAGTATTTCGATTTAAATTGTGCTGTACAGATTTTAAAAATTTTTAATTATAAACGGAGGTAAGCATTTACCACCTTCTTTACCACTTAAGTAAACAACTACTACTTAGTGGAGTCTATCAAGTATGAAGTTTTATGTTAACATTTTAAATGGAGAATTTTTATTTCTTTGTAGATTCAGAAAAATCCAGAAATGATACAGTGGATGTACAAGTGAATGGAAATCTTATCAAAGAAGCTGACCATATGGAATTGGAAGAAGAAAATTCTGGGCAACTTAACATGCGTGGAGTTTTTCTGCATGTCTTTGGCGATGCCCTTGGTTCTGTGATTGTAGTAGTAAATGCCTTGGTCTTCTATTTTTCTTGGAAAGGTTGTCCTGAAAGGGAGTTCTGTATGAACCCATGTACCCCTGAACCCTGCAAAGCATTTGTAGAAGTAATTAACAGTACTCATGCACCAGTTAATGAGGCTGGTCCTTGTTGGGTTCTCTATTTAGATCCAACTCTTTGTATTGTAATGGTCTGTATACTACTTTACACAACTTATCCATTACTGAAGGAATCTGCTCTTATTCTTCTACAAACTGTTCCTAAACAAATTGATATCAAACATTTGATAAAAGAACTTCAAAATGTTGAAGGAGTTGAGGAAGTTCATGAGTTACATGTTTGGCAACTTGCTGGAAGCAGAATCATTGCTACTGCTCACATAAAATGTGAAGACCCAACATCGTACATGCAAGTTGCTAAAATCCTTAAAGATGTTTTTCATAATCACGGAATCCATGCCACCACTATCCAGCCTGAATTTACTACTGTGGGCTCTAAATCAGGTGTAGTCCCCTGTGAACTTGCGTGCAGAACTCAGTGTGCTTTGAAGCAGTGTTGTGGGACCCCCCAAGCCCTTTCTGGAAAGGATGCAGAGAAGACTCCAACAGTTAGCATTTCTTGTTTAGAACTTAGTGACAATCTAGAGAAGAAGCCTCAGAGGACTAAAGACAACAACGTTCCTGCTGTTGTGGTAGAGATTGAAAAAATGCCAACCGGCCAACCTGAATCGTCTTTGTAAGCTTTGAAAAGAAGATGTGATGTTTGACTTTTCCTTTTAAGCTGCAAGAGGAAAAAGAAAGATCTCCACTGAAATTCTAAGTTTGCCAAGTCGTGTAATGGAAGTCCTTGTTCTGGTCACACAGTTTAATTCTATTTTTGTAAGAACCTAACAGACTACATAAAGTTCTATATGATGACAACTTTGTGATTATTAGTGCAAAATACAGCTATGCTGTAACAGGTTTGGAAAGCCAGTTCTAACGCTATGTTACATTTTTGTTTTAAATATAAACCTTAATATAACATAATGGCATTTGATTTCCGTTTTCCCATAGTAAAAAAAAAAATTAGGGGGATAAATAAATTGAAATTGTTACTGGAATTTCTCTGCTTTTCTTTCCCCCCCAGTGTTAATGCTTTTGTTTATTAGAATTATAATTGCTAGAATTTATATCACAAGTTTGTTTCATTTGATATTTTTTATAATATTTACTTGTCCTTTGAGATCATCCTAAGGCATAATAACAGCATATTTTTAAGGATATTAAGAGAAGTTCCTTTTTAAAAAATCTATACAGAGTATTTATAATGCTAAATACCAGTTATCCTATGTGCTTCATTTTTGAGTGTCACTCTACTAAACAGGTAATTAACAAATGTGAAGTATGGTTTACATCTATAGTAGGATAGTTAGGGAATAAGAGCAGGGAAGAGACTTTACCAGACTAAATGTTTTTGGATTATTATATGTTAAGATATTTCTAAATTATTTTTAAATTTTAACTCATTTCCCAAAGTTAGTCTAAAACATGGGCATGTTAACCAGCATTACTTTGAAATACTGGTATTAGTAACAATGAGGTGATAAAGATGCTCAGTTGAATAACATGTTAAATATTAGCTGTTAATAACTTAAATTGGGACTTAAAAAATGCTATTAAATATTTAAAGTCACTTCATGGTGACCAATCATGATTGGATTTAAGTGGAGCTTTTCAAGCACAGCTAGCAATGCTTGCTAGAAGCCACAGACTTAAGAGGGGGGGGAACCAACAAATTGAAGGTTAATTATAATTTGGATATGAAATTCTTAGTAATAATGCTAGATTCTGTAAGCCATCCTGTTCTTGAAATTGCTCATATCTTCCAATGATGATCTATTTTGCAAAAAATGCTAAAGTATTTTACGCAGGAAAATTGTTCTTGGCTGTTTCATTTTGCCATGAAATTTGAAATCCATACAGAAATATTATTTTATGGTATTTAAGTTATATTTTTCTTGACAGAGAAGGTGTTGTATTGTGAAGAAACTAAATTTTTGTCCTTAAGGATGAAAATTAATGTCAGTTACCATGTATAGCTCTATTTTTCTAGAAACAAGGTGTCTTGACTACTTTTATAGCTGACTACTTTTGGGATGGCTACCTTTTGGGGTCTGAAATAATTCATTGCTTAATGGGTTTTAAGCTGAAAGTTTGGAATTTGACAGACTTTTTAAAGGGATAATTTTTTGTGCTAGATGGTTATGTTTGGGTTTTTTCCTAGTATAAGCCTGTTGCTGGCAATGGGTCTATTTAAGAACAGCCGATTTCTCCAATGAGAATAAGGTAATTTTAGGAACATGGTTTATAAATTCATATTTAATGGGCCAAAAGCATAACTTGCCAATTTGTAGTACATTTTAATTTTCTAATATTCTCACCTGATAAATTATTCAGTCCTAAACTGATAGTTAATTGAATTTTACAAGTGTTTAGAGTTGGTTTTGGGTTAGAGGGATTGCATTATGTGGTTGAACTGGAGAAAGAAAGCTGCAAATTGTACTGTATCATGTACATTCCTGATTTAATACTTTAAATTACACAACATTTTAAAGTAGCTTACATGAACAAAGTGATACCATAGGATTCTCTTTTTTGAAGACTTTGTCGTAATAAAATCAGTGGGCGCTGACTCACCTATTGAGTTTTAACAGACTTAATTTATTTATGATGCACTTTTCTAACCTGTTTTTTTAGCTATCCTAGCATTTCTTTTAAAAATGTGCTTATATTTAAATATTGTGGACTTTAAGTGTCTTCTCAAAATTGCTTATTCTTTCCTGGAAGAAAAATGAGGGAAATTATTCAGAGACTTAACCCAATATTTAAGTATGCTATTTTCTAACATACTGCATCAGTTATAGGAGGTACATTTCTCCTGCTGGCTCTTTTCTATTTGAGCAAGGTATCTTTAGAATGTGTTTAGAAACTTGTCTGTTGTCTCAGTTTAGTGAGAAGGTGGTGCTCCAGGTGCCTGAATTAAAACCAACTCAGATTTTTTCCAGACCAAATGCAGCCTTAGTGATGAGAGACTCTATTCTCCTTTGCCACCTTTTAGGTTATAGTAATTTTTTTGAGGGTTTCTGCATTATTTGAAGAAAAATACTCAACCAAACACAAAGACTACATTCTATAAAACCAAAACTCAAAAACCTTGTATGTGTTATAATGTTTTAGAAACAGTATGTTGAATACCTAAGGTAATTTGAATAGGAAAAATTTGTCAAGATGAAGATGGTATGGAATATGACAGGGTTCAAGTCTGTTAATAGGGTCATTTTGAGTTGTACTCCACAGCATCTAACAACAGTGCACATCAGAAAGTCACTAGGTAGGAAAAAAGGCCATGTTAACATGGTTTTATCTTGTGAACATCCTCAGTTACTATTGAAGTTCTGAAAATTTTAAAGGAAATAACCTATGGAAACTAATGTGAACTATATAATAGGTTGATTAGTATTGAGTTAAAGATTTTACTGTTGATAAACAGATACCATTTAAATGATGTAAATGTCATTTACCTGCTGTCTTAAGATGTTCACACACAAATATGATGGAGTGTAATTCTATAATATAAAATTATTTATTTTAATATTGAGTTTCAGTTGAGTTGTAAAACAGTGTTAAAACTCTTGGGAAGGTGGAGGGGTTTTTTGTTTTTAATTGAAACTGTCATACAGTGTTTGAACATCTCTGAAATGGAAATTGTTGTAATAGCACCATTTTGATGTAGCTCTACTGATACGTGGCAATGCTATTTTGTTTTACTATCAAGCTCTGGAATATTTAGCTGTCATTTTCACTGGCACAAGAAGAGCCTTTTGTATGTCAGTTTAAACTTTTTAAACCAAAAATATTTTACGGTGCAGTGTCTTTGCCTAAAAGATGCTGAAGGGAATGTAACATACAATTAATCTGTGGTTATATAAAGACACAAATTGCCATGTTATGGTTCTGCCTTGAAACAGCACAATGAAGTGTATCAATGTATGCTGTGATTCTTTATGAAGCTTTCATATTGTGTTGTTTGTGTCTGCTGTTGCCTGTTCTTTGGGCCAGATGTAGTGCAGTTAAATGCAGTTATCATCTCATTAAATGCAGATGCAGTTAAAATGTCTTTAGTGCTGCAACGTTTTACCTAACTTTTTGTATGTTTTATGACTGTGTTATTTTCCAAAGCTGTTCCTACCTCACCATGAGGCTTTATGGATTGTTATGTATTATAAATGTTCTATATGAGACAGACTACTGTGTTTCTTCTCATTTATTAAAAGATAAGTAGAAAAATAAACTAATTTTAATATCATTTTCATTGTTTTTTGCATATGGCCTCACCTGTTAGGCTAGGCTGTGATACAGAAAAAAGTTAAAACTTTAGGTATTGAAATAGAACTCACACCTTAACACAATATTGAAGCAAATGTGAGAGGAAAATTACAAGTTAAAAACGCCACCCAAAATTCTCAGCAATATGAAGTATATTCTGTGGTTTTGGAACTTTTAGAGTTAAAAACATGACTCTTCTAGTTAACATGTTTTTGGTATTTCCTTCTTGGATAATGTTCCTTTGAGAAAGTATTTGCCAAGGTGGCTTAAAATGTAATTTAACATACTGTGTATTACACTTGATGATGAAAGGGTTTTTAGATTAACATATTCTAAGAAAGTTGAGCAACAATATTTTCAAAAGTAATTTCATAGATCGTCAAAACTAGTAGTTTGAAACTATCTACTCCACAGAAGACTTAAAGCCTAGGAACCTCTAGTCTGTCCTACAATATTGCTATGAGTGAGAGCAACTCTGACAGTAGTTTAGTAAGCCTTTTTGAAAAGAAATAAGTTGTTGGGTATATTTAAAATATATGAGGTTAGTACTGTAGCTTATTTCTTTGGGATACAGTTCAAGGATTAATACATGGTAGGCAGTAGGGGTGGGGTATTTTGGGGGTTTTTCTGTTTGTTTTTTTTAAGTGAACAAGAGTAGAAGTTTTTAAGTGCTGTCCAGTCGCAGGTGACTCAGAGGCCCTGTGAAGGAGAGTCCTAGACCCTTGGGTGCCTTTCATCCTCTCCAGGTTCATAGGGTTTCCGGAGGCAAGCTATTATGGAAGTGGATGCCACTCCTTCCAAGCTTGTTTTAATCAGGGAGCTCCATCCCACTGAAGAAGTAGACTTAATAAAATTATAACCAGTTGCCATCAAGTCCACTAGTCATTGTGGCCCTATGCGGGTCAGGAGAGCTGTGTGGTTTGTTTTTTTTTTTAACATTGTCATTTGGATGAGTATATACAGAGCAGTTTCTTATGTGCTGTTGAGTCACCTGTGACTTACAGTGACTCTATATACAGCAACTCTGAAGGTGGCCCTGTACTGAGTCAGTCTCACTGTGACACACCTACCACTATTACCCTCATTATTGTACCAATCTATCTCATCCGGGGGCTTCCTCTTCTACACTGTCCCTCTGCCCTTCTGAGCATTATGTTCCTCTCCAAGGACTGGTCCCTCCTGGCCACATGCCCAAAGTATGTGAGACGGAGCTTCAAAATCTGTGTTTAGTGGTGAGGAGTTGCACTGTCAATCCAAAATCCTAGCCTCCAAGGGGAAACTTGATTTCACCCTCTCCAATTGATACCCTTGGATCCCTTTAGGGTATCTGCACTTTCCTCACCTCACCATTTTCATTCTTCATTGCTGCTGT